CGCTCGGTGCTGTTCCCCGATTTCCGGGGCCCCGCGGGCGCCGCTCGTTTCGAGGCGCGGCCGCCGTCGCGCGTCTCCCACTGCAGCGCCTACGCCCAGCTCAGCTCCTTCCCCCGCGCCGACTTCTCGGCCGAGCCCGCGGCTCCCGACGCCTCCAGCCAGGTCTCGTACGACGCCTTCGGCGGCGCCGGCGCCTTCCCGGCCGCGTTCCCCCCGTTCCGCCTGGGCTTCGGCGCCCCGGCCGTGCTGGAGCGCGGCGCCTACGAGGCCTACGAGGCCAAGCTGGGCGGCGCCGGCCGCTTCTCCCTGGCGTCGCAGCACTCGGACTACGGGCAGCGCTTCCAGCAGAGGATGCAGACGCACGTTTAGGGCGCGGCCCCGGGGGTCCCCTGATATTCAGGGGGGGTCGTTGGGGCCCGGCCCCGCTCCTCGGGACGTGCCGGGGGTGGTTTTGTACTCGTCCCCATTCCTGGGTTTTCAGCTCGTCCCATTCCTGAGTTTCCTACTCGTCCCCATTCCTGGATTTTCAGCTCGTCCCCATTCCTGGATTCTCTTCTCATTCCTGGTTCTGGATTCCCATTCCTGGATTCTCTTCTGGTCCCACTCCCAGATTTTCTACTCGTCCCATTCCTGGATTTTCAGCTCATTCCCAGTCCTGGATTCTCTCCTTGTCCCATTCCTGGATTTTCACCTCGTCCCATTCCTGGATTTTCTCCTCGTCCCATTCCTGGATTCTCTTCTCATTCCTGGTCCTGGATTCTCTTCTCCTCCCACTCCTGGATTTTCAACTCGTCCCCATTCTTGGATTCTCTTCTTGTCCCATTCCCAGATTTTCTACTCATCCCATTCCTGGATTTTCTTCTCATTCCCAGTCCTGGATTTTCAACTCGTCCCATTCCTGGGTTTTCTCCTGGTCCCCATTTCTGGATTCTCTTCTCATCCCATTCCTGGATTTTCTTCTCATTCCTAGTCCTGGATTCTCTACTCATCCCATTCCCAAATTTTCTACTCGTCCCCATTCCTGGATTCTGTTCTCATCCCCGTTCTTGGATTCTCTTCTCATCCCATTCCCAGATTTTCTTCTCATTCCTGGTCCTGGATTCTCTTCTCGTCCCATTCCTGCATTTTCTTCTTGTCCTGTTCATGAATTTTCTTCTCATTCCCATTCCCGAATTTTCCTCTCCTCCCATTCCCAGATTTTCCCTCCCATTTTTCCATTCTCGGGTTTGGTTTTTCCGGCGCTTTCTGAGCGGCCCCGGGTCTGGGGAGGAGGGGAGAAGATTTCCCCAAATCCAGAGGGACACACAAATCCCAAAAAAGGAAAAAAATAAAATCCCAAATCCAGAGGGACACACAAATCCCAAAAAAGGAAAAAAATAAAATCCCAAATCCAGAGGGACACACAAATCCCAAAAAAGAAAAAGATTAAATTCCAAAATCCAGAGGGACACACAAATCCCAAAAAAGGAAAACAGTAAAATCCCAAATCCAGAGGGACACAGAAATAAAAAAAAATAAATAAAATAAAATCCCAAATCCAGAGGGACACAGAAATCCCCCCAAAAACCCCAAACCCATTCTAAATCATTCCCAAAAAACCCCCCAAAATAATTCAAATCATTCCCAAAAGAAAAAAAAAATTCAAACCATTCCCAAAAAAAAAAAAAAAAAATCATTCCAGACCATTCCCATTTCCCCAAGGGTTCGACCTGTTCCCAAATCCAGAGGGACACAGAAATCCAAAAATAAAATAAAAAAAAATCCCAAATCCCCCCAAAAAATAAAAATAAAAATCCCAAATCCAGAGGGACACAGAAATCCCCAAAAATAAATTAAAAATCCCAAATTTTGGGATTATTTTTGGGAGGGGAGGAGCTCCCCCCCTATGAATGTAAATCCAGGTGGGAATTTCCCAAATTCCCGGGAATTTTGGGGATTTGGGAAGAACCAAAAATGTTGGGATGAGGAATTCCAGGGATTGGGGGGAGGGTGAATTTTATAGGGAATTTTCCCCAAAAAAGAAAAAAAAAATCTCCCTTTTTTTTTTTGGAATTCCAGGGATGAATTTTGGAGGGAATTCCTAAAAAAAAAATCTTTTTTTTTTTAATTTAGGGGATAAATTTTGGTGTAAAAAAAAACAGATTTAGGTACGAGACCCCTCCCCACCCCTCAAGGAACTTCCCAAGGATCAGGAATTTCCCAAAATTCCCAAAATAATTCCC